GCCCCACCTAGCCGCCTCCCGGTGCTCGGTCCCCACCAGCGTCGCCGGTGCCACCCCTCTTCTTGGGCTCGCACGCTGCTCTGCAGCAGAACCACAGGGCTGTGCTCTCACAAGCAGCTCAGAAATGGGAAGTCTACCTCTGGGGGGTGCCCGTGGGGGCCATGGTCGTCGGAGAGAGTGGCTGTCGGGTGGCACACCTCCCATTGGTCAAGGTGGGCTGGGTTTCACAAAAGCTGGACAACCTGGCTTGAAGGGCATATTCGTGGCGCTTGTCTTGGATGCCGGGGCCATCTGGGCTTTCCTTGGACGCTCTGGGAGGAACCTACCTGGAAGATTCTCAGGCAGGGCTGGCAGAACGCCCGTGAAGGGCCAGATGCTGGCCAGGCCCTGCTGGTGACGGGTGGTCTCCGCGGGGCTAATGGGCCCTCAGGCAGCCCCCCAGGGGAGGGGAGGCTCAGGCTCAGGTGCAGGGCAGGTGACGCAAGTGAGGTTCGCACTTGGGAATCCGCCTCTCCGAGTGTGTTGGGGTGAGGGGAAGGTGACACAGTGTTGACTGGGGGCAGGAGAGGGGTAGTTGCTCCCTAGCACGGGGTGAGGTGGCCCGTGTCGGCCAGAGGTAGCAGGAGATTTGCTGCCAAGCTCCGTGAACACTGAGGGAGCTTTCTAGTAACTGCTGTTTCCCTGGATGTTTTAAACTGGGAAGCAAGCCGTGTGCAGGCCTTTGGTCTCCAGAGACCAGTGTTGGCTTGGTGGCCCAGGTAACTCCTGACTCCTAGGCCACAGGCACCATCGTTTCGGTTTTGAGAGAGAGCTCTAGCAGCGCAGGTTCCTGCTGGGCCTGGTCACCCACCGGCGGTGTGACTGTGGGGTCTGGTGGGAAGCCAGGGGCCATGGACGTGGGGTGTCGGAGCAAGGGGCGCCATCATGGGTGTAGCCAGCACCGGGCCTGGCTTGGAGGGGCCAAGCAGGCGTGGGACTGGGCCTGTCGCCGTCCTCTGGACCAGACTGAGCTGGGGCTGTGGAGCTCAGGAGCCCTGTGCCTGGACTGCGGGGGGTGGGCCTGGAAGGACCCAGGTGTGTGTGTCAGGGGTACCTTGAGGTAGGGGAGAAATTCCAGTTGGAAAGAAAGGCTGGGGAAGCTCCACTTCCCACGAGAAGCATGGATGTTGAAGTTCAAGAAAGTGAAAACAAGTTTAGCAGAGCTGTGCCGTGAGGCCCAGGGGGGCAGAGTCTGTCTGTGCCCTTGGTCAGCCGCGGAGGGGCGCTGAGGGCGGGGGTGCACTCCGGTCCTGCGCACGGAGCTCGCCCGCGCTAGACTATGACCAGAGGTAGCGCGGGCTCCGCCCCGAGAGGGACTGCGTTTATCCGTCTCCAAGTTCGGGCGCGGGAAGGAGGTCACGGTGGAGGACCCTGATTTGCAATGAGATGATGCAGAAAACCCATAGTTCTCAAATGAGGATGTTTATTACTAAAAGGACCAAAATGTGTTCAAATCTTCACAGCGACCCTTGCTTTCAGGTAGTGACATAACATAATAGCGGTAGGACTGGAACGGTTACATTCATTAAAGAAAAGTATTTAATTTTCATTTTGTAAGTAACCAAGCTATTTTTTTCCAGCTAAAAGATAAAATGGCGAGGTAACATTCTTAGCTGCTTTGTCAATAAGAAAAGTCAAAATCTAGTCCACATTCCCTTTCTGTCAGTGCACATACGATGGCACCGTATTAACAAACAGGTTACATGCACCAGGGAAGACGGTGGAGAAGATACGATGCAGATTGAAACCGGTTCCCGTTAGAAATCACGACCAGGCGTCTGTGTCAGGGTCAGCCGTCTCCGGTCTGGCGTGAGGACCGCGTGTCACACGCCGCTCCCCTGAGCCGTGAGGGCTGTACTTCCTTCAGGCTGCATTCCGTCGGGCAGGGGTTCTTTGGACACGGTGAACGGTGCACGTAGGCAGGGTCGGCTGGAAGGACTGGGGGGTTTGCGCTCAGTATGTGGGGCGCACCAGCGAGTCCACGCTCACGTGTCAGCGCCGAAGGCCGACCGTCCCCAGCGGGTGCAGGCAGGCGTCCTCGAGCTGCCTGGGGTTGGGGTGCCCGCAGACCCGTCTCGCCCCTGAACCCCCCCCACCCTCCCCGCGTGGAAGCCCAGGCTGGGTGACTGGAGAGCAGCCCCTTCGCTGTCTCCCGCCCCTGCAGCCTCGCGCCCCCCAGGGAGCTGATCGTCGGGTGGGGGGAGATGCGGTTGAACGGTGTCTGATGGAAAGCCCTTCGTCAGGGACGGGTGTCCTCATGTGGGAAGCACTGGGAGACGGGAACTCTGATCTTAAGGGACCGGCGGTTCTCAGGGGTGCTTGGGCACGTTAAGCACTGACCTCTGTCCCCTTCGTAGCAGGCACGGGGTGAGTCACCGCGGTGGGTGCTACCGGCGAGGCGGAGGGGAGCGAGGGCCCGCCGGGACCCCCCCTGCCGTCCCTCTCGGCCTCCTGCCTCTGGGTCTGGGCTGCTGCGGTCCTTCTGTCACCTGGCGGTGGGCGCACAGCACAGGTCGGCGGGGGAGTGGTTAGTGGTTAGGGGGGGACGGAGATGAGGTAGGCGTGAGGTGTGCCGCTGTCTGCCGCGCCCGGACGCGCCCTGGGCTGTTCACGGCCACAGGTGGACGTGCCGCTGGCAGGACTGCCCGCCCCTCTGAAGTCGGGGAACAGGCTGGAACATATGTGCCCGTGTGTGCGTCAGGCAGAGGCGCAGACCCCAGGCCCTTTGTCCCTGGCTCTCGGGCTGCGGTTTCGGAGGATGCGTTGCCATCCCGCAGAGAGGCTTCTGCCGCCCTTGGGGGTTCCCGCGGTCCGCACCCCCAGCCCCCATGCTGTGGTCTCCTGCCGGCAGCGTTCCCAGGTGCCGGCGTGTCCCCCACCCTCCGCGCAGACTCCAGGTTCAAGGCCGTCCCCGCTTCCCATAGCTTTCAGACCCTCCCGGCGTCGGGGAGCACGGTAGAGATATGGCCTCACTGTTTTGTTTTTGAACAAAGGCAACTGCACTTTTTCTTGCTTTTAAGGCTGAATTAGTGACACTTCTCAGGGACGGATCTTGGGGACATGTGGGGACAGGTCACTTTGCTAGTCTTTGCTTACAGACAGGACGGCATGACGCTCAGCCCGGCCTGGGAACGAGGCTGAGTCACCCGGAGGTTCCGACGGGAGTGTGCTTCACCCTCTTCCTGCTGCTTGTCTGGAGTCACGTTTATGCGTAATGGCCAAGGGCAGACAGCGTCCAGGCACAACCCGGTAATCTAGGGCCGGGGGCATGTGCAGCCGCGCCCGCAGGGGCCTGGATGTCTGGGGGGTGCCTGTAGCGCTCCGGGGCCAAAGGCAACCAGAGCTGGAAGACAGGAGCCTCTGGGCCGCTGCAGGGCGCTCTCTCCTGCCCCCTTGGTCTCGAGCGTGTCCCCCTGTGCACGTGGAGGCGACCGGAACGCCTGCCCTGGAGGCCGCGTGGGGCCGAGACCTGCCTCCGGAGGCCCCTGCGCAGCGGCGGTACTGGTGCTGGCTCTGGAGGTGACCGGAGACGGGTGGCCCAACACCCAGAGTAAAGATTACGAAAAACACTTTATTTCCTCCAGTCCCCCAGATGTGCATCTAGGTCACGCCCGGGGCCTCTGCACTGGGCGCTCAGTCATGTCATTTGGGCGTAAGTGGGGGGGCCGTGGCGTTTCCCGTCCACACTGGGACTTGTGAACGGGACGGGGAGCACCCCTGGGACCCGGCTGGGACGTCAGGCGTCGTGTGCCCCGGGCCCCAAACCAGCACCGAGGGACACGGGGGGACGGGCCGTGTTCTTCCTGTGCCGCCGGGGAGCCCGCTTTCCTACAGTGTGTGTGCTTGCTCCGCGCATGTGGTAGTCGCGTCACAGGAGTTACTGGCTGGTCAACGTGGTCGTGGACGTGGGAGAGGGGCTTCGGTAGCGGGCATCGTGCTTCTGCGGCTCCCGCAAGTGTCCTACACCGACAGCCTCTTGTTGCTTCTCTGGGCCTGCACACTGCATCCCCGCTCGGTCTTTAGGAGTCCTGTGTGCTGCTGATCAGGGAGCTCAGAAGAATGGGTTTTTCATGCGCCCGAAATTATCCAAGCACTTCAGGCACCGAGCACAGGTGTAAAAGCACAGATCCCCCAGTGTACACGTTTCCTCACGTTGCTGGTAAATGCAGCAGGTCAGCTGCGGGCACAGACAAGTCCACCTGACGACCCTAGAGGGCAGTGTCCTTCCGGGGTCTTCTAGGGGAGGTGTGACAGGCCTCCCAGCCCCGGGAGGGCCGCGTGAGGCCGCCGTGGTGACCTGTCGGCCCCGCCCGCCCGCAGGCCCTGGCGCAGCAGCTCTGGGGACTCCGCTTCTCTGCCTCTGGCTTTCACGGCCAGAGCGCGGAAGAGGCTGGCTGCCAGGGGAGAAAAGGGCTCTCGCGAGGTGGCTCTGGGATTAAAACTTGTCACTTTGTAGTGACACTGGGGGCGGCCCTGACATGCGTTATCTGTGCTTCCTGACTGTCCCACGTGGGCCGGTGTCACTCCGCCTGCACGGCCTTCGGGAATGCACGGGAGGTCAGCCGCACAGGAGGTCAGCTGCCCGGGAGCGGGGCCGGGCGGCCTGCTCCTCAGCTTCTAGACTCCCTCAGACCCAGGAGCGTGTGCGCCCGGTGGAGTCCCTGGGATTCCCCGGGCCCGCGGGGCAAGGGTGGCCCGTCTGGTTTTCACACCCGCGGTAGCAGGGGCCGGGTGTGTGACGTGACATGAGCTAGTCAACATGCGTGTGAGCCCCTGGTGATGAAACCACAACTGCTTTCGCCGGGGAACATGTACTTTTCCGATCTCCCGGGTTGGCGCGTGTGTGTATAACCCGTGGGTGGAGGTACCCTCGTGTGTCACCCAGTTACCGGAACGTAGGAAGGGCTTAGTCCTTACGAGGAGGTGCAGACAGTTATAAAACACATGTCGCACAGTGAGGGTTCTGAGCTGCAAGGAGCAGGCATCTTTATTTGGTTCTCTTCAGGTCTGTAGCAACCACTTGTTATTAAAAAAGAACGGAAAGTAAGATGTACAAAAAGATGTAACATCCCTTTAGAAAGTAACGTTCCCAGAAACGCGTTTCTTACGGATCCTCCCTCTCCTATGCCCCACGCCCCAAAAACGACCCCGAACTAAGCCAAACTGTGAAAAGAAATGGGGAGTGAATGTAGAACAGAAAAAATAAAACTGGATTTAACTGGAACATGCTCTAATCTTTAGTTTATTTCTGGTTAAAAATATAGCAATCCAGTGCAGTGTAGTAAAGAAATCTGCTTGAAAGGTAGCAGAGAAACAGCTAAACATAAGCAAAGCAAGGCAGAGTCCATAGCCGGGCTGTGCCCAGGACGGCTGTGGAGGCTCACGGGAAGGGCCATCCCGGGCGCGAGCACAGGGGCCGGGTATGGACGTGGCCATGCCTCATAGACACGCCCATACGCACGGGCCAGGGCCCTCCAGCGCTAGGACCACGGGGCGCCTGAACGTTCTGGAACCTTGTTCTTTCGTTTGGACGGTGGAGCAACACTGGTGGAGAAGGCAGAATTGACTGAAACCAGTTACGTTGTGTGTTTTGGGGGAGATGGACAGGCAGCGCTTGCTCAGGCATTTTCAAGCCACTGGGTTTTACCCACATTCCTGTCCTGGGACCAGACCAGCTCCGGAGCATGAACGAGGCATCTGGAAAGAGTGTGCATATCTGTGGGGGAAGTGGAGGCCGGCACAGGACAAGGATCGAAAACCCACGTGCCCAGTGACCGCGAGAGAGGAGGATGTCACCGCGGGCCAGCTCACTGCCATGGACGTCTGATGGGCCAGGGGAGCCTGGGTACATACTGCATGCCAGGTGTAGAAAGGCCACACTCTCGGAGCCAGGCGTGGCAGCTAAGTGGCCCCGTGGCGTTCCCTGCCCTCTGTCCTGTCTGCACCACTGCTGCCTGGGTGTTTGGGGAAAAGGGGGAGTGGGTGGGGAGGGAGGACCTTGCTCTCAGACTCCGTGGGGGACAGAGGGGCGTTTTCAGGGGAAGAGGAGCAGCAGATCCCTGCTTCCTCAAGCACACAGCACAGATCCAAACTGGAAAGAGACCCCGGCTGCTGCTGCTGGGATGCCCCCCCCCCCCCCCCCCCCGTTCCAGGACACAGGGGAGCAGCAGAGGGAACAGACTTCCGGCATTCAGCCTCGCGGCACGGCTGGGCACGCTGGGGTCTTCCACTGGCTGCCTCCAATTCCAGTCCCAGACGGAGTGTGATGGCGGCGAGGACGGTGACCCTTTTAGTTTTTGGCCGTTGATTTGCCGGGACCCCTTTCCCGTCCACACCAAGCTGGAGGGGCGGCGTGCTGGCCTCCTCCCAGCGTGCCACACAGCATTGTGTTACACGAGCAAGGGGTTTTGGCTAAAATCCAAAAAACATTACCCAGAAAAAAAGGCAAACTGTGAGTAATACCCAGTCACTGTGTTCTGTGAGAAGACTCAGAAGCGGTCGTCGGCTGTCCGAGTTATGATCCTTCCCTTTTTGTCGTCTTTTTTAACGTCCCCGTTTGTACACCAACTGCTGTTTTCGCTCACGCGACGTCTCATCAGATGAAAAAGTTAATAAACAAGATGGCGACTCCGATGTTGAGCAAGATCACCATGGCCACCAGGATGGGGGCCGAGCCCTGCAACAGGATGACAGGAGAGGTGAGCCCGCGCCCGGCCTGCCCCCGCCCCCCCAAGCCTGGGGCTCGCGGAGAGGGTCCTCCCGCTGCCCGGGCTGCAGCCACTGGGCCCGGTGCCGACCTCTCCCGGCACGCCAGGTCTCTTTAAGTCAGCGTCCCCACGTCTGCATTAACCTTTGTCCCCAGCTCCGCAGCTGGGGCCAGAGAACGCGGTGCTGGGATTCAGATGTGGCCCACCCAGGACGGACCCGCATTCAGCCCGAGACCCCACGCCCGGTGACGTCCGAGCACAGCGGTCCTCGGAGCCTCTGCGGGGAGGGGTGCAGACTACCGTGCGGGACGGGGCCGCGGCGGCCCCAGAGGATACAGGTGCCCGGCTGGAGGCCAGCCGCTCGCTCTCGCCTCTCCCCCAGGGAGCGTCGCTGTGAAGCACCAGCGCGGTGAAGGAGGCCAAATAGAGAATCTCCTCCCGCGCCCTCCCCCCTTCACCCGGCTTCCTAAAGTAACCACACGCACACTGCTCCTGTGTGCAGAGGCACGCTCCCCAGACACGGACGCGTGCTCCTTGATCGGGCAGCTGCGGGCGCACGCGGCTTTCCTCCCACAGGCCCTCCCTGCGCCGGCCACAGGGCTGCCCTCCGGTGGGACCTGGGGCACAGGAGCCCCAGGGAACCAGCCTGCTGACAGGACCCTCACGGTGGGGGGGAGGGCACCTGTCCACAGAAAGCTTTTCTCCTGAGGAGCACAGGCCCTGACACACAGAGCAGCCCCTCCACGGGCCAGCGGTGGATACAGACCCCGCCTCGCGGTCCCACAGGTGTCCCCAGGGGGTGGGTACGTGGCGCTCGGCTCAGTGATCTGGCCCTGATGGGGGGGGGCCTGTAAGTCCGGGCACAGGGCACGTGGGGACATCAGCTCCAGGCCCGGGCCGAGAAGCTGGGGGGTGGGGGCAGGACATGTCTGCTCACAGGTACAGGGTCCCAGCAAGTCCCTCCTGGGTGAGAGCCCACCGGGCGCCCCACAGTCCAGGGGCCTCCGTTCCTGCCTCCACGCCGCCGGCTGCGGGAGGCGCACACACGTGAGCAGGCCCCAGTGCCCAGCAGCCTCCTGGCCAGGGCAGGGCAGAGCTTCCTGGGGGGGGGGGGGGGGGGGGGGGCGTCTAGGTGAGGACAGAGTGCCCAGTTTGTGCCCCCGGGTGCCCGGTTTCTTTTGGGAGCTTCCAGAACTGCCTTGTGCCTTCGCTGCTGGGTCAGCCCTTGGATCTAAAGGAGGGGGGCCCGTGGCCCCCCAGGACTCCCGCGGGGAAGGAGCCGGCCCCCGCGGCCAGGGCCCCCGCCCCCCGGCCGCCACTCACCGTGCTGGATTTGAGCTCGTCCGCGTCCTCTTCGTCCGACTCCAGCGCCACCGGGGAGGACTTCTGCGGCGGGGAGAAGGCCAGGTCCCAGCGCAGCAGCCGCGGCTCAGCCCGCTCCCCCCGCCGCAGGCTCTCCAGCCGCTGCACCGCGGGCTCCGCGCACGGGGCCGGCCTGGCGCCGTCCCTGCTCTGGGGCTTGGGCCGCAGTCTCTGGGCGCCGAAGCCCCGCTCCTCGGGGCGGCGGTCCTCCCCCAGGCCCCGGCAGGCGCCCCCCTTGCTGTAGCGCCTCCGCGGGGGGTGCGCCTCCTGCGCTCACGAGTCCATCCTGCGCAGGGGCTTCATCTCCATCTCGTAGTTGCTCAGCTTCTCCTCCTCCAGCTCCAGGAGCTTGGCGCCCGCGGAGCCGGGGTTGCCGGTCCGGTGGTGGGAAGTCCAGGAGAACGTGGGGGGCGACTCCGTCCGCTGCTCCCGGGACTTGGGGTTGCCGGGCGGCCTGTGGCCCGAGCCCCGGGAGCGGAAGTCGTCTGCGGGCGGAGCGCTGCGGAGGGCGCCGCCGCGGACGCCCCTGGAGCTGCCGGCCTTCTCCTCGCCCCAGCTGTTGCGGGCATAGTCCCCTCCCCGGCCCTCCAGGAGCATCTGGATGTCCCCGCCTCGCTCCTCGTCCGAGACCTGCCGGGAGAAGTGGGCAACCTTGTTCCGTGAGGCAGGGGCCGGGGGCGGGGTGGCCGTGGGGCTGGCGGGGAAGCTCTGCAAGGGGCTGTCGTCGGGGGTCAGGTCCGAGGGGGTGGTGCCTTTGCGGTACAGCTCGGGGCTCTCCTGCTGCAGGGGCGTCCCCGTGGAGGCCACCTCGATGTCACTGCTGGAAATCGGGTGCTTCGGCCGCTGGTACTCGAGCCCTTTATGCGGGGGCAGGAAGCACACAGAGGTTGAGTTACTCGGACCCTCTGTGTCTCGTGAGGCCGACCTCACCAGAGGGCTGCGGGGCATTGGGGGGCAGGACGGGGCCTGGGTCTCGGGCGATGGGCAGCCGGGGCACTCGCCACCAGGGTGTGGGCACAGCGGTCCCCAGGGCCCGAGCCCCCTACCTGACGCCCACAGGGAGGGTGATCAGGGCTCGAGGGGGCAGTGGTGGACTGAGGCTCTGGGTCCCCCCACTGGCTACAGGAGAGACCCACCATGGAAGGGGGAGGCCACACCCCGACAGGTCCCTCCCAGAGTGGAAGGAAGCCTCTTGGGCCAGATGCCTTTGGGGCCTCCCCACAGGCAGCATAACAGTCTGGAGTGGAGAGCCTCCCCTCTCCACCTCCCTTCTGGAGCCTCTGAGTCCGGGCAGGAGGGGCCCCGGGACACATGGGCCCCCCAGTCTGGTGGGGCCGGGCCCGTGTGTGTGAGGGGAGGCGTGCCATGCTGGCGGCCTCAAGCACAGCGGGCCCCGGTCTCCTCTCCTCTCGGGGTTTTGAGATGGGGCCAGCGGGCAGGAGGTGGCAGAGCTGCAGATGCCATAACAGTGGCTCTTGGCACAAAGGGGGACCAAGGGAGGCCCTCGGTGGCCCCCAGACCCGTGAGTGCTGGGGCACGGAGTCGGCCCCATCCCTAGTCCCTGCGGACCCATCCGTCACGTGACGGTGTGGCCAGGAAGCGTCCGGTCCCTCAGCTGCTGGGGACCGGGGACACAGGGCCCCGGAAGCACTGCACTGAGCGCTAACCCCTGCAGGGGTAGAGCAGCGTAGGACAGGACACAGCCACGGAGACCCTGCCCTGCCTGTGTCTGGGAGGTACTCAGGGCCAGGGTCCCGCACCTCCGAGCCCAGGGGCCGGGTGAGCCTGGACAGCAGGCCCCATGGACTGCGCACACCCCCGGAGGCCGCTGGGCTCCTGCACCTCGTGGGCTCCACGGGTGTCTCGGGGTGGGCCCCGGACAGACGGCCACATGGCAGACTCCACTCTGAAACTGTGCTTGTGCTCGGGTCCTCACCTCCTGCGGCTCTGGTGCTTGCAGGGGTGGGGGGTCGGGGGCGGGCGGCTGGCCAGCAATAGCCCCTGCGCCAGGCCTCCGCTGGGCCCGGAGCGGAGTCGAGTCTCACTGACAGCTGCCACCCTGTCCCGCCAAGGGGAGGAGAAGGGCCACGCGTCTGGCTGAGGCTCAGTGGCATCCAGCCCCTGCCAGGGGACAGGGCGGGAGCTCCCCTCGCTGGCCACACAGGGCGCTCAGCGTCTCATTCCTCAGCTGCGCTCCTGCGTGCCCAGCAGCCCCCTGGTGGGACGAGTGGGTCCAGAAGCACGTTCTCGAGCAGGAGTGGGGAGGGCAGGGCGAACCGGTGGACAGTCATGTCCGCGGAAGGCAGGAGCGGCACAGACGTGGAGCGTGCCGCAGCCCCCCACGGACGCCCCCCGGGGGTGCCACTCACCGTTTTCCCGGTGCTGGAAGGAGGGGGAGAACTCTTTGGCAGTGATCCTGGCGATGCGCGCCTCCTCCTGGGCCTTCTGCGCTGCGGTGAGGGCGGCCTCAGCCTTGGCCCGGGAGTGCGAGGTCCTGGCAGGGAGAGGCGGGGAGGGCCGTAAGGGCTCCAGCAGCGAGAGGGGCCCGGTGGCCCCCAGGTCTCCTCCTCTTGTTCATTCAGCAAACACCCCGCCCCCTGCGCGGCTGGGCGTGAGTGCTTGCCCGTGCTCCCGGGCACAGGGCACGCCATGGCAGGGGCCTGGCCCGAAGCGGAGGGGTCGGCCCGCGTGAGCCCCGCGTCTCACTGCGGGGAAGCTCCCCTCCCGTGTCGTGGCCAGACTAGACGGGGCCCAGGCGCACAGCCAACGCGTCTGCAAGCCTCCCGAGCGCGACAGCAGCTTGGTCAATGCTGGTTTGCCCGGGAAGGAGTCGGGGGAGAGCGGGGCCCAGCCACACGTGCGGGTGCGCAGCTGGTGGCCAGACTCGGGGCAGGACCCGTAGGCTGCAGGGGAGGGTCCGAGGGCACGAGGAGCAAGGTGCCCCTTCCCCTTCACCAGGTGTGGCTCCAGGCCCAGAGAGGGCACCGGCTGGCTGTGCTGGAGCCACGGTGGAGCCGGACCTGCCTCCCACGCCGGTGCCGACCCAGCAGCCCCCGGGGAAGCCCCCAAGTGCCGCCGTCCCACCGCCCGGTCCTGCGCGCCTGGCCTCCCCCATCCCATCTGGCCCCTTCTGGGCCCTGAGAACAGCAGCCCAGGTGAGTGGGGGCTGGACTGACCGGGGCAGGCCCACGGCCACCCCGACCCTCCACGCTCACTGCAGGGCACCGTCCCAGCCCTCCTCGGACACCTGGAAGCTGGTATCACCAGCCCCGTGTGTGTGGAGGAGACTGTGTGAATCACGGGCTCCAGATGCTGGAAGAGCACTGGCTTCCCACAGGCTCCGCCCAGAACAGGTGACTGTCACGGGGAGCACAGGCACGGCCCTTCTGTGTCGGAGCTGTACCGCCCGGGTCGTCACGTGCTTCTCTGTGACTCATCCCCGCCACCCCCCTCCCCCCCCGAGACGGACTCAGGCAGGCGGCACTGATTTCAGTGCCTACGCACAGGCCTGACGCGGGCGACTCCGTAAAGGGGGTTTGCACTCAGATCGGTGAACCTTCCATGCACACACACATGCCAACAGCCCCGACCCGACGATGCCATGGCCCAGCGTGGGGGCGGGGGCAGTTCTGGGCCCCAGCCCAACGTGAGGACAGCGCCTTGCAGCTGCAAGACCCTCCCGCCCAGTGGTCCCAGCGGCTCCGACTCAGGATGCCACGGTGTCCCCACGGCTGAGTCCCACATGAGACCCTCCTCCCTGGTAAAACAGGGCGGGACTGGGTGCCTGAGGCAGGAGGCCACGCATCTCAGCTGCCTGGCATCCTGGCTCCAGGGTGCTGCTTGCCAGCCGCAGAGAAACCACAACACTGTGGCCTGTCCCCAAGACAGGCAGCCTGTCACCAGTGACCCGTCAGTTGACAAATGATCACTGCTACCTGGGGACTTGTTCCCCGTGTGCCAGGGGCTTCCGGAAGCTGCGGAGAAGCCAGTTCCTGCTACAGTCTGCCCAGCAACCCCGACACCGGGCCGTCATGTGGGCCCCCGTGTCCCCTGAGGCTCTGCTCCGTCTTCACCAGTGATGCCTGAAGCGGAGGCAGGCACCTGAACGCAGCGGGAGGGGCCCCCGTCGGGGGCCAGAAGGAAGCAGCTCGGCCGCTGTGCTTGGCTCTGGGGAAAGGGTAGGTTTTTCTGCAGAGCATCCCCACGGCTGGTCTGGCCGCTGTCCCGTCAAGCTGTAAGTGCTGCCGGACCGCTCACCCGTTAGGGTCTCTGACGCGGCGTTTCCAGCGTCCTTACGGTCGTTCTTGGACACCTTCACAATCAGGCACCCCATCCCCACAGCCCGAGGCCCCCCCCACGCTGCTTCCCCTCACTGGGCGGACCTGCTCTGGGCGCGACCCCCCCCAAACTGATTCTTTCGTAATTTTAATTGAAGTGAAATTCACATAACAAACCACAAGAGCACAGCAGGAGCATCGCGTGCGTTCACCAAGCTGCGTGCGCACCATTTCTTATTCTGGGATGTGTCCGTCACGGGGAGGCCCATCCCCCTTACAGTCACTCCCACCGCCACCGTGCCCTGTCGTGGGCAGTTCTGAGCCACCGTTTGGTGTTGACAAGACACCCGCTATGGTCTTAGGGCCTGACGGCTCGTGGCTGCTACGTGCCACATGGGGTGTGGCCCCTTATCCTAGGACCCGGGGTGATCAGCTGGCAAAGGACCATGAATCGCTGGGACCTGAGCAGGGGACGACCACCCTGGTGCACCAAGTCTGGGCAGGCCCGGCCCTTGGGTGCATGGTCGGCTCCCGTGTGTGTGGTGGACGGGATGCCAGAAAGGGAGCATGTTCTGGGGGCTGCAAACCGAGCCACAGAGACGGTCAGGTGAGGGGACACGAGGGCTCCCAGACCGGGCGGGAGGCCACAGGCTTGGAAAGACCAAGGATGACGGCCTAGCCTCTTCGCGTCTGCAGCCCCACAGGCCGTGATGGTGCCGCCCGGGCCTGACCCCCAGGACCTTCTAAGGCAAGGCTGACCGGGGCTTGTGCACAAGGAGCCTGAACAAAGGAGAGCAGCTGAGCTGATCGTAACACACGCAGTATGTATCTTAGGGCTCGAGCTCCTTGGAGGCCAAGGCAAGCAGGGAAACGTCACGGATGCCATTTGGGGCTCAGGTCAAAGTCAAACCCGCAGCTCAGCAGGTTTGGGACCTGGAAGAAGTTTCTCAGCCTCACGGGCTTCCTGTGAAGACCCTCGGTACAGGCTGCTGGGGCCACACAAAGTGAGTTCAGTAAAGCAGCCAGAAGGGGCCGGAAGGGCCCGAAGACCAGCAGCGAGAGTCTGGAACCCAGCCCAGTGCTTTCTGCAGCAGCTCTTCCTCCAGGTAGAACTTGGACGGCTTAAGGCAGGCATACACCCCCTCCCCGAAATATGGGACCATCCTCTGCGAGCTGCTAATGGCAGGTCTCCCTGTTGCCCAACATGCATGTGAACACATACATGGGTGCCACCCCCTCCGGTCTTGTGTCCCCCGTGGACACGTGGCCTGGCTGTGGCAGCCTCTCCCATAGGTGACTTGTCTAAAAGGTCCAATGAGACTGCTGTGCTCAGAATTCCATTTCTGTCCCAAACCCTGGGAAATAAAGCACCCCCCCCCCCCGCCACCTTCCTGGTGAGACCCGTGCGCCTTGAGGCAGGGCCCGTGTCCACGCCTCACCCCTGCAGCCTGGGCCTGGCTGGACGGCAAGAGCCTGTCACTACTTTCAGACGGCCCTATGGGCACCCGACCTTCAGGCCAGTGCGGTGGGGTGTGGCCCCGCGACGCCTCGGACAGGGTCTCGCCCCCACCTCTGCCCCCCGGGGCGGGCGCAGTCACGGAGAGGAGGGCCTGTTGCGTCCCTGGCCCTGGAGTGGCCACTGTTTGGTTTCCTCGTCTTTGTTTAGTAAAAATACCATGAACGTTAGTTCACCAACAGTGTACGTGTATTTACATATATACGTTCACACATCTAGAAAAAGGGTAAGCTGTGCCAGCCCTAAAATAAAATTGAATCAAGAAGAATGCATTTAATAGAGAAGACTCCCCAGCACATGGCAAGAGACCCCGGGGCTGGACTGGCCAGTTAGCTGGTGGGGGGGGAGCAGTGATGCTGGAGCCCCCATCCCCACAACCAGCCAGGGACCCCTCCAACGTACGACACCAACTCGCATAGACCGCGCAGGACGCAGGGTAGAGCGCCTCGGGGACTCAGAGGACTGTGACGTGACGTAGGGGGACCCGCCCCGTCCGTCCCTCCCCCCAGCAGGTCCACCGCTGGCACCTGTACTGGTGTCTCCGTCCCCCCGGAACCTGGGAATGTGACCACATCGGGAAGTCAGGTCCTTGTGAGGGATGACAGCCTGTCCGCCCTGGAGTGTCTGGCTTGGCGGAGCAGGGCTGGGCCTGGGAATCTGCATCGCTGCTCCTCGGCGGGGGGGGGGGGGGGCACCACGGCGAAGGCTGGAGACCCCAGCCTGCTCCCTGCCTGCCTGCAGCTGTTGCACCTAGCCCTCCCGGAGGCCCCCATCCTCCGCACCCCTGCACTTGATCCAGACCCCACGGCCCCTCCCATGCCCTGGATTGAGTGCATCGCACCCCCCAGCGCCACCCCAGACCCGGAGGGGCGTGGGGCTGTGTCACCCTGTGACAGGCTCCCTGCCCTCAGCTCTCAGCCTCACCAGACCCTTCCCACCCAGTTCAGAATTCGATCATCTGCACAGCACCATTCCTGGTTACCCAAGGGTGGGTCTGCTCGAAATGTAGGCCCCAGTGCTCGGGTCCCTGTAGGACACAGCCGCCGGGCACCCAGCTGTCACCAGTGCTGGAAGCTGAGGAGTAGAGTGGGCCTCGGTTGGGCCCTGGGGCACCCAGGGAGGGTCCTCACTGAGTGCACACAGGTAGGCCCAGGGGGTCGGGCTGGAGGGGCTCACCCCTCACCAGGCCTGGGGTCGGGGTCTTCCGCAGAGGACTCCATTTCACATCTGTGACACACGAGGAAACAGACACCGATGTTTGTCCTGGTGACGCAAGCCTTCTTCCAGCTCCAGAAGGTGCCAGGGTCTCTGATCAGGGACTCAGGCCACCTTCCCAGGGCATCTGCTTTGGGAAGGGCTCCGTAGGGGATGAACAGCCTCCTCCCTCCCCCAATTCACATCCATCTGGGACCTGGGACCTTGACCTTATCTGGGAGAGGGGTCTTTGAGATGTACTTAGTTCAGTACTCAGTTGTACTGGATTAGGGGGGCTAAGTCCCATGACTAATGTCCTTGTAAGTGGAGGGAACACAGATGGCAGAGGCAGCTGTGTGAGGACGGGAGGTGCGGGAGGTGGCGGGAAGGACCCTCCCCCAGAGCCTTCCCAGGGAGTGTGGCCCTGTGACCCCGGGATTTGTGCTCTGGCTGGCAGAGAGTTTTAAGGCCCCAGCTTATGGTGCTTTGTCAGGGCAGCCCCAGGAC